CTCTCTCTCTCTCTCTCTCTCTCTCTCTCTCTCTCTCTCTCTCTCTTTGAGATTGAGTGCAACGTTTGAAGGCGTACTTTAAATATTCATCACCTTTCCCTCTGCTTTTGCTGCTGCTGTTGTTGTTTTGATGTCTCTGATCCATTTAAAAAGAGGAATCACATAGCATCCCTGCCATCACTGCTCACGACTGCCACGGCTGTGAATCGAATCACCTAATCGAATCGGTGTTCCGGTGTGCACTTTGCCTTTTACTGCTCAAGTGAGCCGAGCTCTTTCCTTTCCTTCACAAACACACACACACTTCACCGCATTGCTTTCCCTTCTGTTTCACCATCTTTCTAATGCTCAAGTTCACATCTATGCAAAGCGAGTTCTTTGCTCCGGTAGCTGTTTGCCAATCATAATGCAATTACGCCCCCTCTCTTCTTCTTGTTTTTGCCTCTTTGACTTGCATGGATTTGAATTTCACAATGAGCCACGGCCTCTCTCAGTGTCTCACGAGTTCAATCCACTTTGATTCAATCCGATTTTCTTTTATTTGGATTCAGCTACCTTATTGACTGCTGTTGTGCTTTTGCCCGCCAAAGTTGGAAAATTAAATTTGCCACCCTTTGTAATTTAGAAAACGGGAAGCACGGAGGGAAGAAGCAAACCAAAGCAGAAAAAAATGGGAAACAGTTGTCTTGGAACTGGAAAAAAGAATGTACGGCCGTTTTTGTTGGTCACTGACCACTTGAGTGGCACAGTGCCAGTTTAATCTTATTTATCTAAGTGATTGCTGTCGATGCCTATGTGTGTGTGTTTTGGTCGATCTTTTTTATTTACGAGATTTTTTTATTCCACAAGTTTGGCTGATAGTTTCAAAGTTGTACAACAAAGCTTCTTTTAGGCGTTCGTACATACGACTAGTTTCGCTATTTATTCATTTTTTTTGTATTCTATCGTTGACTATTTTGATTTGCACAAGCAGTGTCTGTGAGATTAAATTAAATTAGAGATAAACTATCGACAGGAATTGAATTGAGCCTATTCTCTGTTTCTCTAGTCATCTTCTTCACTTTTGTATCTCCTTTTTTCTTTTTCTTTCTGCAATCAGTCCATCTGTAGTAGCACTAGCACCATTTGATTGAATTGCCGCGAATTCTATTGGAATGACTTGCCCATCGTAATCGGCAATGCCAATCACTCTTGTTTTTCTTTTTTTCCTATTAATAATAATAAAATGACTTTATTCTTCAGAAATAGCACCACAAGAACGTTAGCATCGGCGCACAAGCGTTAATTAGCCTTCATCGCATCATTTTCTTCTGTTTTTCTTTTCTGATCATTTCCATTTCTCGTGATTACACTTGTCAGTGGTGTGTGCTTGTCGCTTTTTTGTTGCCAGTTTCACTCGCCTTGGATTAGGCATAGAAAAGGAAAAAATGTGATCTGTGCAATTGTGCGTCTGTCGTGCTTGTTTTTCTGTCACATCTCCTTTTTTCTTTAAACAAAGCTCTTTTTTCCAATTTCATCTTCAACAAAAGTTTGCTTTTCATTTTTTGTCAATTTCTACCATTGTGAAACTTTAAATCTAAACCGTCACTTTATCGATGTTTTCAGCCCGTATTTGTTGTTGTTAGTGGTGTATTTTTTCCTTTTCTATAATGTTTCTTCTCTTTTTGCACATTCTACATAAAGATCCTAGCAAACAAACTCTCTACAAACTAACTTGCATTTGTGAAGTTAATATACGAAAACTTCTTAAATCTCTCTTCCTCACAAGAAAAGATTGAATTGCCTAGTGAATCTTCCTCTTTTTCCTTCTTCATCCGTGTAAACTCCTATCTGTGCAACTGATCACTGCTGCCTTTAGTGGACACATTTAGATTGATTGATCCATTGATTGATATTGATATATTGATTTAACAACAACAGCAACTACGTTTTTTTTCTCCTCTTTCTTTTTCTGTGTTCATCGTGTTTGTCGAGTTTATGCCAACTTACTTGTCTTTTTTCCGCCCTTTGTTTTCCCGGGCACTGTCGTGTTGATGTGCTTTAGCACTCGTTCAGTCAGTTCAGTTCTTCGTTAGTTCTTGGTCGTTCCCCTTTCCAGTTGCTGTCAGTGAGCTTCAGTAAGCTGAATTTTTTGTAAAACACTCACTTGCTGGTGATGCCGTCTTACTAGTTTTGTCCTCTCCCCCTTTCCTCCCTTTGTTCAAGCAGAAATGGAGACAAAAAATTNTTTTTTCCGCTCCTTGTTTTCCCGGGCACTGTCGTGTTGATGTGCTTTAGCACTCGTTCAGTCAGTTCAGTTCTTCGTTAGTTCTTGGTCGTTCCCCTTTCCAGTTGCTGTCAGTGAGCTTCAGTAAGCTGAATTTTTTGTAGAACACTCACTCGCTGGTGATGCCGTCTTACTAGTTTTGTCCTCTCCCCCTTTCCTCCCTTTGTTCAAACAAAAATGAAAACAAAAAATTTAATTATATCCGCAAAGTAGTCTCAGGGAAGAGTTTGTCACTCGCCATGCTGTCGCTGTTTCAGCAGCAGCTGAAGGAAGGATTTATTCAATCAAGTCGTACTTTTGAGCCTGGCGTCTCAGGAAAAGTAAACAGTGGAGAAAGTAGAACAAAAAAGAGAAAACTTGATCCAGAAAAAATAAAAAAATAGTCGGCAACACTGAAAAGTCGCCAAAAAAATGCGGATGATGCTGATGAGAGAGAGAAAGAGAAAGCATCATCAGACCAAAAACTTTCTTAAGATGCTGCCTGCTCTAAACAAAGATAAAG